TTAATCGCAAATCATTAGTCAATAAATCTTTCACTCAAAAATTTGATATTCATAGAAAAACCTACTATTCTGAAAATGCTTATGCTAATCATTTGCGATCTAATAAGCATAAAGTCGCAGAACTGAAAGCTGCGCAAGAAGGTGATTTCTTATTAATCAAATAAAGAATAGTGAATAATATTGATGATGAATGGGAAGATATTGAAGAAGATATTAGCAACGAGAATCATGTCAACTTTTCAAAGGGGTATGCGATAGGTTTACCATTTTAAAAAAGATTTGAGCGCGAATAATTTATACTGCATGTGACTTATTATTGATTTAACTTAGCGGCTTATTGGACGAAGATGACATTGAATTAATATTACCATCTGGTGCACGTATCGGTCATCGTTCAATGCGAAGATATTATAAACAAAACTTGCGTCCCGAAGAGGTAAGAATCAGGAAAGATATCTATGCAATCTAATAATATTCATACTGATAGCCATTTTATATTTACAGCATAGAGATTCTATAATTATAAACCGTCTTATTACTCAATATGGCGACTATCATCGACGCTCTGGAGGTGTTCTTATTGCCAAAGGTGGTCATGCAAAGCATGCACAATATTATATCACAACTTTACAAGATAAACGTCATCATGATTTTGATACACGTATTGGCATTAAGGCCAACAAACTACAACGCCATTTCAGGGCTCAAATATTGTAGAATATAATTTATATTGTAGCTTTGAATGATAGCGTAATTTAATCATATAATAAAGACAAATAAATTGGTGCTTCACCATGAATCAAAATTTTTTTCTTTAATGACGTAATGAAGAACGTCAGTAGTTTAACGTTCATTTGGTCTCGGAATTTTTACACAATTCACGTAAGTACGTCGAGCTTAACTTAAGATCTTTAAGCTCTCCTTCTTTAAGAGATGGATTCGACGAAGATATTACCTCAATAACAAAAGTTTCTAATGTTCCGAAACCACGTTTTTGTCGCTCTTCATTTACTAAGGAAGGATATAAGTTAAAAATTGATTAAACATCACTGAATATTAAAGACGACAAACATACTAAGACCAGCTCCTGAAATAGTTTCTCTGGATACAACAAGAGCACGAATATCTGGATCAGATATAGTTGGACCATAAACATCGTATATTGGCTCAACCTAAAAACAAAAAGTTTTAAGAGTGTATATTTAATCAATTAAATGAAGCCCCAATCGTAAATTTACCTTATATAACAAACCTTGGTGGATTGCATTTAAAAATTTTGTGACTTTTGCTATTCGCGTATTGATTGGTTCCAGATATTCCTTGAGTTTTTTGTTTTTAAGCATACAGTCATCTAAAGATAATGCAATTAAATTATAGTAATTATAACGAATGCTTAATTACGATTACTTTAGGACTTTTAAACTCACCGGTCACTCCGCAAATCAACTTTTTACCTGCAATCCATGCTGTTAAGGTTAATAAAATTTTGTGACCAGCGTGCAAATGATCAAAAGTTCCTCCAACGGCAACGGTTTGATATATTTTGGGATTCTCATTAAGTTTACAATCTTTACGATTTTGATCATGTACGTTTTTCGGTGATGTTTTAGTATCAAATATATGAATATGTATTTCAGATAATGAAGCTTTTTTGCGACTACTATTAAACTCTTGCAATCGAGATTGTTCTAAATTGGAAACGATAAAAAAAAAAACTTAAGATCAAACTGCATTGTAAAAAAATCATAGATACAATATACCTGATTCGCTTCCGAAAAATACATCAAAATTCTTTTCTTTAACTAATTCAATATTATAACCATTCCATTTTTCAAAAATAACGTCAATTTCAAGAAAATGTTTTAAAGTTTCGTAAGCAACCTTGGTTCCCGATATATATAGAAAATTTAATAGATCACGAATCTCAGTCCAACATTTTGTTGGATAATTACTGTAAAATTCAATTTCTTGGCAAGAAATGTGAATAATTAAAGATTTTGAAGAGCAATTAACTGCCAATTCGATTAATTCTCGATGATACTCATTGAAAGAGGTCAATGTGGGTAAAGTAATTTGAAGCAATGAATTTTCGTAGTTATATTCTGGCATAACGATGTATGACCCGCTATTACACAGTTACATATGAGTATCGCCAAGAGAAAACCCGTAAATCTTATAAAGATTTGTTTCTCTTTGCGGCACTCATGTGTATGAAAACCATAAATCAGTAATGGGGTTATAAACTTGTCAAATTTAGTATTTTGACCCGAATTAAGGACTTGTTAATAGATCACTTGATTGCCTAATCACATTTTAATCTGATTGTCGCATTAATTTTTATTACGTAAAAATGTCTCTACCGGATAATTATCCTTTTTTAACACGAAAGGAATTTGACATTGCCGCTAAATTATTTATTGAACAATCGAAGAGATCAAATGATGAACCTTGGAGCTGGGTTGAACATGAGGTTTGAGTTAGAAGAATCTGAGTGGTATCGCTTAGAAAAAGGAACTTCACCATGGATATCATTATGTAGAATTTAAATATAAATTATTTATTATTAATAAAGAAAGTAAAAGGTTTCGGTTACATTTGTCGAAAATCATTGGTTAAACGAGTGACTCCAGTGAATTTCGTTATCCCAGCAGATGAATTCACACAACTTGATGATGAAATATTAGAAGAAGAAGATTTAAACGTACGATAAGTTATTCCTCATTGTACTATTGCTCTTTCTTCATTCATCATTTAAGTTCTTCTACAGTCTCTACCCACTGTACCAGCATCGGATGAATATTTTACTGTTGATTATCATATCATATATTCAACTTCCTATAAAGTTCCTGTACTTTATTTTAATGCCTACAATAGTGGTTTGTTTATTATTATTATTATTTTTTATCTAATTATCATCTCATAGTGTTCTTTCTCAAAAGATTTTTTATATTTTAGATGGGACATTATTGACAAATGATGAGATTTATTCAAATTTAGTACATCCTTTAAAACAAAATGATATAAAAAATGCAGGATTTAATGGTGCAATATCACAACAGGTAGTATTTACAATTTTTAACTGACTATTGTACCAAATATTATAACTAGCAAATACATTCTATTGATTTAGGATCACCCGACTCTTTTACTTCCATTTTATTATCTCCATCCCTGTGAAACTGCTACTTTAATGGCATCAATAGTAAGTGACTCAAAAGTGGACAATAATAAACCACAAGTATTACCTCTAGAAGGATATATTAGAAGTTGGTTAAGTTTGGTTGGCTCTGTTGTTGGAGTTAAGGTTGTTATAGATTATTTTATTTAATAATACAGTAATATAATAAATGCTTAAAAGTTCATAATTGCCTAATTATAAAAAGAAATTTATGACCATGTATTTGATTTAAAATTTGAGTTTGGGAACTAAAAATCGCACAACATTGTGCTGTAGGATTCTTAAATGAAATGTGTAATATTTAGGTCGTTTTAGTAAGCATAAGAGTTAGCTAGATGATAGTGATTATGGTAATGCTGTATTAACGTTGCTAAAGCTTACTCCGAAACATTCCAAAATAAGCTAACTTCAAGTTGAATTGAATTCTAAAAACTTGGTGCGATCTGGAGCAACCCAGAGCAGATTTAGAGTCATCTGGAATATAGTATTGTGCAAGTCTAATTTTAGATATGAAATTAATTTAATCTTTAGACTAGTAAACGTTCTTTTAATAATGAAGATAAAACAATGTTTCTTTTTTTAATGATAACAATAGTAAGCAAAATAAGTACCGTAAAGTGTTATATAAAAGATCCGGATCTACCAATTTTAAAACCTATATTTAGACCCGGGGACTTTTGTATGGGTGTGGGTATGATAATTGGGGGTTTAGCCTATTTCATTAGCCTTTTCTTAGTATTTTCCTATTTGCATACCCGGGTCTCTTACATTTTACTAAGATTTTATCCTATATGATAGACCCGGGTCTAATTCATGAGGGATCTGATATACAGTGCCCGACAAAAGTTTCCCCGCACCCATAGATATCTTAAAATCATGCTTTGTATTTCCAAACTTTCTGTGAACAAAGAAGACCTTGAATGTAGGTCCTTACCGTAAATTCTCGAAATAACGGGCAGGGGCGTTAATTCGAAAATCGCGCCCCCTAAAAATAGCATAGGTGGTTTCGAAATAACGCCCATGCGCGTCCCGAAATAACGCGCATCTAATAGTAAAGGGTAGTAAAATTTAAAAAATGCTCCGGAACTAGGTTTGGTACTATGTAAATCTACTTTTGAGCTTTAACAAAAGTTGTTCTTCAGATCGAGATGGTTCTAATAGTGTTAAGTTATCAAGAATGACTCAGTATATTGTCCACAATGACTACCCAAAGTTTTGCAACTTATGTAAACAAAGATAAACAAACGTTGCAAAACTTTGAAGAGCCATTGTGGATGATATACTGGGCCATTTTTAATGAAATTTAATTAAAGTCCAAAAGTAGATTTACTTAGCACTGAACCTAGTTTCAGAGCATTTTTATTTATATAAAAATATATATATAATTTTATATTTGTTTCAAAATAACGCCCATGCATGTACTCAAAATAACACGCAGATGCCTGTTATTTCGAGAATTTATGGTACATATTCTACAGATCGATAGGTTCTTTTAATAAGTATCTACTATATAAATATTATGTAATCTCAAATATATTATTACTAGATAAATTCTTTTTTAAACTTTATATAAAATTTTTTCAACAATAATATAATAAATTTTGATGATTAAGATTTCTTTTGAATTCTACAGTTTCATAGAATTTAAAAGAACCTTTAACTATTAAATTGATTACTTTGTTGCTGAGATATTATTAGAAGTTTGCTGAAAAATTAATTAAAATTTAATCTTTAACAAATTTCTAATAATAATATCATAGCAATGAAATAATCAATTTCAATATTTAAGGGTTCTTTTGAATTCTACAAAATTGTAGAGATCTTAATCATCAAAATTGATTATGTTATTGTCAAGTTATATGCATTTATGTTTTTAAAGAAAATTTTAACCAATACTACCCAACATTTGATGATCGTCAGTGTTTTGAATAAAAATATCTTAACAACTAAATGGTCAATTTCAATGTTTAAAAACTCTTTTGAATTCTATGAGCATGTAAATTCAAAAGAATTCTCAAATATTGAAATTGATCATTTTATTATTGAGATATACCTATTTCAAATATTTGTGTGATTTTTGTATTCTGTAAGCATATGAAAATTTATAATTATGTAATATATAATACAGAAGGTTTATCATTTTGTAAAATATATAGATGATCATATTCATAATACTTTTTGTATACAAAAAACATTAAAGTGCTATGCATGATTTTGAGAACCTTTTAAGGAGTACAGAAAAACTTTTGTTTAGTACTGTATAAGAGAATCTTATATATATAGCATTTTATAGTAATATTTGTTTTGTTTTTTTTTTACTATATTAACAATTTAATTTAACAATTTATTAAACTTTTTATAGTATATTCTTGAGATACAAAAAAATAGTAATGATATAAAGGTATAATTAATATAAAAATATTCTATATATAATTAAAATATATTAAAAAATATATAGACTAAATGTTAAAAAAAATAAAAATAAAAACCAAACAACTTTACTAAAACACACTAGTGGTATTCAACACCACATATCAAAACAAAAATTTAAAAAAATATTAAAATTTAGCTAATATTAGAGTTAGGATTATTAGCTAAAATTAGGAAATATAGGTTATTATAACCAAAATTTTACAAGGAATTTTTTTTATTAAGATACAAAAGGTGGTTTTATAAGCAAAATTTTAAGTTATTAAAGATTTTTTAAAAAATTAAAGGATAGTTTTGATTTTTTATATTACACCAAATCTTGATATTATACTACAGATCAATAATTTTATTGGTTAAAATTACTATAATATTGAATACCACTAGTATATTTTAGTAAACTTGAAACCAAATTATTAATATTTTTAAAAAAAAAATTTAAGTTTAACTACTGTAATTCAAAAATATTTTATTATTTAAAAAAATAAATATTATTATATTATTAATAAAATTTTATAATAGAGTATAGTGATGTAGTAAAGTGGTTAAGTTGTTATATCCCAAGCAATTAGTTGGTTAGATAGAAGTTTAAAACCTATTACTGACAAATTTTGAATATTCTATTTGTATAATAGTTACTATTTTTTAACAATTGGTTAAAACAGGATCTCTATAATCTTGGTAGCACTAACAGATTAGAAGATTATAGAGCATTTCTGCAATATATAAGTTATACAAATAAAGTTCTATAATTATATTAATTCAAAAAACTGAAAAAATGAATGCTTATTTGGCAAGACCTGAATAGAGAGATTATACAAATCTTTGCAATACTATATAAAAAATTATCATCAAAAAAACTAGCAAAAACTGAACAAAACTGAAGTATATAGCAAGACACTCTACCAACCAGACTGCCAAAGCCAAAGAAAAGAGATCTACTTAAGTGCAATTACCAGAAAACTAATAACCTGCAAGTAAAAGTCTCTTTTAGGTATCTAAATCAGTAGTTTGGGATAAACCAAATAGAACTGAATATTTAGAGAAATACTTTACTAACCAGGCTATTAGAACCAGAAGAAAAGAATTTGCTTAATTGCAAATATCAAAAGACCAGTATCTTTGAATAAAGTCTTTTTTGGGATATCTGAATTGGTATTTTAGAATAGTTTGAATACTATTGATAGTCTGTAAAGTGTATACTAGGTTTGAGTAAACTCTACAAAGGCAAAAGTAGATAATAGTAGTGGCTTTAGCTTACAAATACTTGTTTTCAGACTTAACATAAGTTACTAAAGTCTAGATTAGCTAAATTGTAAATATAGAAAGTCTAGTATTGATGTCTAGAGAATAAATTAGTTCTAAGAATATAGAGAAAATATCTAGAACTTCTTAATTAACAACTATATCAGAGATGTCTTAGTGAGACAAGTAAAGTTGTATTACAGAGAGTTTAAATAGATAATATTTATAGTTAAATTATAGGTATAGTATTTAGTATAGAACCTATATAGATAGATTACTTAAAATAGATACCAAAAAAATATATATAGCTAGTATGTACTTTCTAATATAAGAGTTCTTGATAATCTTTCTAACTGACTTTTGAATAAAAACTTTAGCTCCAAAAAGGCTAGTTCAAAAAAAAATAAATAAAAAATAAAATAAAATTTTATAATATATTATAGTTTGAGAAATTATTTTTGTGCAGGATGTATATCGGTGCATTCTATAGCAAACTATAGCAAATTAATATAAATAAGAGCTAAATTAGAGTTAGGGTTAGATTAGGGTTAAAATTAAGGTTAGATTAGAGTAAAAACTTAATAAGAAATATTTTTTATTAATTACACAACAAAAATTACTTTAGTAAAATTTTAAGATATTATAGAAAGATGTACCAAGTACAGGATATATCAAAAATAAATACTCTTATAGTTTTTAAGTTTTTTTAAAATCTAAGTGAGGTTTTGTTTATTGCTTATTATTATATATTAAGAGTTAAAGATGCAAATAAGTTATATTTTAATTTTATATCTGTATTCTAATTTTATATAGTATAATAAATTTATTTATTTATTTATTTAAAATTTTTTTTTTTTAAATTTCAAAGTAATCTTATAGTCAGAAGCTTTATTGGGTTAATATGCTAAGCCACTTTTAGACAGTCACTATTCATTTGATATATGATATTGGAGAATACAACTAGTTATATATACAACTTTTAGTTGCTTATTTAAGTAGTCTGCCCAAAAGTTCTATACTAAATGCTATATCTATAATCTGGTTAGATGATTATCTATTTAAACCCTTTGCACCACTGTATCCTTATAAGGCCCAATCCCATATAGGGTTACAACTTATCTAAAGTACCAACTAGTTGATTATCCTCAAAATAAACTTATTAAAACTTTCCATACCCACAATCTGGCTAGCCTAAATTTTTAGTAATTTATGCTCAAGTCCGAGGACAAGAACTTGCAAGCCGAAGCTACTACTATTATCTACTCCTGCCCTTATAGAGTTCACCAAACCTCGATATATACTTAACAATCTATACTCTGGTTTTCTAAACTAAGCTATACTTCAGATTCTCTAAACTTCTAATTCAGATAGCCTGGAAGAGCTGTGATCTGTTTCTGATTCTCATGACTGAGTCTTTTTCTTCTGATTATTTACCTAATAGCCTGGTTAGTAGAGTGTCTTGCCAAATACTTCAGTCC